TAAAGGAGTCAGTAATGCAAACTTCAACAAGAGTATTGCTGGTATCCTGAATAACAGATCAGCAAATTCGTTGCAGTTATCGAAAACTTAAAATTTTACGTATATTAACTATAGTTTCAATTCCAATCACTGATTATCCGATTTAAATTATTTTTTAACCGGATCTATTTCTAAGGCATAAAGAGGAACTTTTAGTTCTTGGCTACCACTGAATTTCTAGAAACGAATTCCAGTGCTCGCGATAGCTATAGACGACGATTGTAACGATGAGGTGGAAACAAGTGTGTCCTGCTCTGCCGCGGTTTGCAATACGTAGCCTGACTCTGGCTATACTCCTCCGTTGTCGTAATCCTCGCGCAGAGTCAAAATGTCCGTAGTTTCGGTATACGCTACATTCTCAACTTAAAGCTTGTATCAACATATTACCTACAAGCGCCAATTACTGCATCACTGATAGAAAGCAGATTGTCTTTGATCTTCCTTAGCACAGGTTGCATATCGGCTTCTTTATCGACGTTTGTTCAGTTTCGATTTCCAGCTGAAAACGCCTTTCTTTAAATAGCTTTGATAGCCGTCATTTTAAATTAAATGAGCCTTGATTATTAGTCTAATTTAATAGACAGTGTAAATGTTAAGGCAGACGGAATTTCCAAATTAATCCTATTGATAAAACACAAATATATATTATCTGTCACTTCGTCCCAGTATTTAACATTCGATATGTTGAAACAAGCCACTACGGCTAACTTACGTCGAGATGGCATCAGCCATTTCATTCTATGATGGCATATCACATAGATCTATAAAACCACCTCACATGGCGTGTTTCAAAACAGAGTTTAGCACATGTGAATTGGTAATAGTGAACGGACCACATTCTAGGCGAATCATTCCGCTATTGCTCAGTCGTCAAATGCTCGCTTTTCTGAACCTAATTGACTATGTGCGATTTACACCTGCCGAATTCAGTTGCCCATAAGGCTCATCTTACGCATCTCACGTATGAGGCATACACACATGCCTTATTTGCCTTATTTGAATGTGGCAAATGCGCTCTTGAGAAACGTGTCAGTATGAACCGTAATTTTAAAAAAGCGCTGGTAGTGAACGCGGATTAGCTCTATGGCTCAAAAAGCAGATATTAAAGATCCGGTCATTCATCGAAGAAACTTGTCGCGCACACTTTTGCAATGAGTTATGCCATGTTACCTGTCTTTATTCATTATGAGAAACAAAGTTATACATTTGGGCAATAGGGCGTCTGTCTCATCCCCAAATGCAGTCCAATCCTCAAACGACTTTACGGGATAGATCATCACTGGAACAGACAACATCATTCTGCTGCACGGTGATTGCTCTTCTTTAACTTGCCCCTTTGAACATGCTAAATGAGAGATGTATTCTTTTGGTTCAAACTGGCACAAAGTCATCAATTTCTTCTTTCTTTCAATTTGTCACGAAATTACTTTTCGAATAAATAAGCAACCAAATCCCATTTATTTCAATGCTTTGAGGCAAATTTTCCGTTAGTCTTAAAATTAAATGAGAAAAATGAAGTTTAAAGTTTTTGCTGGCGCCTTGTGCTTATAGACGCTCATAATGGCCACTGATAGACTGTGATGGGTCACTGAGCCTAAGCAAAATCGCAAATCCGTTTCGTCTCATTCAGCTCTGATCCTGTTAGTGTTCGGAGGAAGATTGTTTCGGTCACACCAAGTGTAGTAAATGAAGCCAGTCAAAAGGACACCAACCATCCTGTCACATATACAATGAACTTTGCCTAAAAGAAAACATCTAGAACAGGTTTCTACAAATTTTCTTTTTCTGAGAGACATGAGAAGCACAACGCTAAGTGTAAATTTAAACATATAGCTAGCTAGTTTAGGAAATCATTCCTCCTTCACACAAAAAACGTTTACAGACACGCGCAGCGTTGGGCAGCAAACTTCGCTGATACGCCAAACTGAAGGCTCTATCGTGTTGACCGGCTAGAAAAAAGGCGCTGACTTTCACTTCAGTGCTTTTTCGTATTGAGAAACCTGTCAAAGAGAAAATTAACTATTCCATTATCATTATTATTATTCCAATATTCCAAAGAACAGGAAATATTCTGATCTGTGTTGCATTTAAACACACATGATGACAAAAATTCCAGGAGTTTGATGTAGTTAGAAAAGAACGAAAAACCTTATAGTGATGCAACACTGAACTGCTTACCTTTAAGATGAACGATATTTCCGCTCAGAGAAATAAACATTGATGTGCAATTTAGCTCAACGTGTAAATTTTAGTAACATGCATTTATGGCTCCGAATCCTGAATATACAAATAGTCTAGATTCAGATTTCATTCCTCATCATTTGGACACGTCGCTCATCAATTACCATCATTCCTTCAACTCTTTTACCTGTGAATCACCATATGCTCTTCTAAAGAGCATAAGCACCATGAAATGATTTCTCACGTCTCAACCATAATCAAAGCGAGCAGTTATCTGGAAATGATCAAATGAATAACTCTGTCAACTCCGTTTACTAGTATTTCGTTCAACGATCGTTTCTGGGTCCATGACATGCAAGCAGAGCTAAAAATATGCTATCAATAATGCTTTCTAATATTGCAAAGTTTCTGGTACATGTACAAAATAATGAATTTATAAACGTTATTATTTCATTGAGAGGGCAGCAAGATTAAGTACTTTTGTGCCTTCATGTATTGGACAGAAAACAAATCACTAATTTTATCGCTGTCACTTAGCGGTATGGCGATACAAAAATAATAAACTTAGCCATGCTTGCTTTAAAACGATTTGCAAGTGAAGGACGAAAATCAGATTTATGTATGCAAATTAGCTGAATATATTGGTACCCTCTTCCTCTTAAGGCGAATCCTGAACTGTGAAAAAAAATGTAAAAATTACTTAAAGATCCTGAAAATCAGTTTAACGGCTGTAGTGTATACTTGCAAATATGGGTCACATTGTAAATCAG